CATGGTTAGATAGATCTAGTGTCACAGAGAAACACATTTTTTCCCCATATCTGCCAATGTTCTTGGCGTTTTAGGCCGTGTTCATTCCCATTCATTTGCATCCCAGCCTGAGGTCTTTCTCTTTGAAGTTTGCCTGTTTCCTCGTTGATTAATTAATTGTCTCCTGGTACTCTGACCTTACTCCAATACATGCCTGTTAATTGGCCTCTCTAAATCGCTTTAAGGAGTGAGGCATTGGTATTACTCCTGTATGTCTGATGAACTGTCCAGTGTTTAACATGGACTTGCCAGGAGTGGTCGTGTCCCTCCAATACTTTTCCAAGGTGGTTTTCTTGAGAAAATTAGTTAATTTTCTCATTATCTGATGATAACGAAAGCAGATTTCTTGAGATGACTGATGTGTGTTAAAAATGATTACATTCTTCAATACTACAACAGCGGGAGAGGATTTATAAGTATAAGTCATGGCAGCCTGTGTGTAATTCTCTAGATAATCCTGTGTTTAACTTTTAGGTAAGGACACGACGTTGTTGGTTTGATGATTTGCTTTCACTTCTGATTCATAAGAAATTAGACCTATGCCTCGGGCGCCTTAGCACGAGTGTTTTCTGAACAGCCCCATTGTTAAACCTGTAACAGCTATAAGATGCATTAACCCCCAAAATGAGTCCAGATAAAAAATTTTCATGAAAAAACAGATTAGTTTCTCCTGTTTTCATGCAATCCAATCATCCACCATGACCTGACAATGACTAAACAAAAACCGGAAACTCTAAAAACTGATTATTTGCGCACATGTGGTACTGCGACTGCACAACTACAGGCATGGATGGACTGGGAATCCAGGGCTGTTGGCCAGCCTCATTGATTACTCATAAAGGTTAATCATCTCGTTACCTCAAGAAATCAATAACTGTTTTCTCCAATACTACCCAGTTATGTCTTAATCTCGAGACGTCAAAGGGGGAAAAAAAGTCCAGTATGACCACTCTCGGCTTCCGTACTTACTGTGAAAAGTAGATTGTGACATCACATAATGAGATTTATTTAAAGGCAAACAACCGTTTTTCTTTTTACTCTACAGTGAGGTGACCGACTAATGGTGAGCTCACACCGAAACACTAAACCAACAAAAAAATCGCCACTTTTTAACGCTATAGCAGGCATCCCCAAACTTGGTCCTCGGGAGCTGCGGTCCTGCAGGTTTTAAAGGTTTCCTTGCTCAAGAACAGCTGATTTTAATTGAAAGCTGATTAACAGGCTTTTGCTCTACTGCAATAATTATAATCAGCTGTGCTTAAGCATGGAAACCTCTAAAACCTGCAGGACAGCGGCCCTTGAGGACCGAGTTTGGGGATGCCTGCACTATAGCATGACGTTTCACAAGCAATTAGCCTGGTGAGCAAGAACAAAGGCTCCACTCCTTCATTAATCTGCTGGTTGTTGGTTTCCTCATAATATGGCGGACCTGGATTTCACATAGCGGGTCGATGTGCTTTATTTATCTTGGAAAGTCCAGCCAAGCTGCTAGCATTGATGTCGTTGTGCGTTCACCAGATATTGCAACGATGAACAAGTGTGGACAGTACCACTACCTCTTCAAGAAGCTCTTTGCTCAGGGAGCCAGAGTGTCGGTCTGTGGGAGTGGGGCTTCAACTCAGAACCTCTGTATTCCAAGCTCTATGCTCTAACCACTAGGCCACCACTGCCCTTTTTTGTTTGTTTCTTTAAATACATTTTCTCCATATTCTTTCCTTCTAAAAATAAATAAACCATTTGTGTATTTTGTTCATATGTATTAACTAGCTTTAAATAGATGCTAAATATAAGAACTTGTGAGGCAGACACCCTGTCTACTTTTAAGGCTAGGCTTAAAACTTTCCT